TTGATTAAAGTGTCCTAAGAAATTATTAAACTGTTTTTGAATTAAACTTCAAATAGAATTTTGGAAAAGGTTTATAAAGATATAATGTTATATTATATTTTAGTATGTTAACACCTTGGAAAAGCTGATTACACGATGAATAATAGGTTTTGTTAATAAATTTTTTGTGAAAATTTTATGTATATTATTAGAGATTATGAATTTGCTATTCACAAAGCTATTTTTTTAATAAGATTATTAATAACTAATATATAAAACTATAATAAAATGATAATTTAGAAATAATAAGATTAAGTCTTCATATTGGGTGCTCTATTTTTTAATCTCTTTGTTATTGATTTTTTTTTTAGATTCTGATTGACCATCGATGTAAAAGCTTTCTTTACAAATTTTGAGTGTGAAAAATTTTTGAAACATAATCTAGGTGGTTTAGCAAGAAATTAGTATTGTACCCGCACTGACCTAATTTGCCCCTTTGAAAAAACATAATTTGGGATGTTAACAAGATGTAAGATAATTGCACTAGATAGTAATAGCCATAAATTATTAAAATAAACAAAAAAAAAATTCCTTTATATGTAAAAAAAAACCATCTTGTTTTATATTCATGTTGTGTATAAAACAATCAAAAATAATGCAGCACAGTATTTAGAATAATCTTGTGCCTGTGAAGAATTTGTCCTATTAATACTTTTTAAAATTTTTATATTTGAAAGCTATACTATTTACAAATCAAATAAAAAAAACTAAAAACAAATAAATACACTTGGAATTGCGTGAAAAAATACAATTTAACTAAAAAATTTTTGCTCCATTACTTATGATCGCCACTGTATGTTCATTCATTTTCTTTTGGGAATTTTTCAAACCTTTTGTATTCCTATTTCTTAATTTTGCCTGGCATTATACACTTTGACCTAAATTAAATATGCTTTAATTTTCCTATATAAAATTTAGATGGGATAAAATGCGCATGATTCCGATCATGCGCATGAATGCACATTAATGCGCACGATTGAAACCCATCTCTAGTCGTGACTCTACATTTTTTTTTTTACAGCCAATTTAGAATATTATAAAATGATTTATTATTAAAAGCGATTTGTTTTGAATTTAAAGTTGAGTCAAACAGTTCCGACTATAAATCTACACAACTTTTTCACGAAGCCTTGAATTTAGTTGCAGTTGTTATCAACGCAAAATGCGGCATTCATTTATACATAATTTAACTATGCTTAGATTTGTTTCATATAAGCCTCACTGCTTCCATAATGTTAAATCAAATTGATGGATTCAAACGATAATAATGAAATAAATTTAACAATAAAGTTATTATAAAAACCCGGTGTATGTTTTCTCTTGACATTTTTATATATTGGCTTTCTGAAGAAAATCAGGTATTAAGCTTTAAATAACCAAACTCTAAGTACAATAAGCAATAATTACAGTCTTTCATTGTAGCACGCATGTGTGTAAAAATGAAAAATTAAATAATAAATAAAAAAAAAACAAAATAAATAAAAAAATTAAGTAATAAATAAAAAAAAATAAATAAATAATAAATAAAAAAATAATAAATAATTAATAAAAAAAATAATAAATAATAAATAAATCAAACATTTCTTATACCTTCGGATGAATGGTTCTATAGCCTTCAGTTTCGTGAAATAGTTTCACATTTTGTTAGTGCAAAACTCCAGGTTCATTTAAAAATTGTATATACATATGCCACAATGCATAAATGACATACGTATATTATTGCTGCATAGATTTATTTATACTTATAAAATATGGTTTGCTATAAGAAGCAGCTTTTTTTTTCTGAATTACCACTATACTATAATATAAAAGCGGAAATGGTGTATAAATGAAAAATATAGGGTCTTGCAGTAGAAAAGGCCCAAATGCTATATATAGCATTTAGCCTCTTTCTACTGCAAAGCCCTATATATCTTTTAAAATAAAACAATTATGGATTTAATATTAAGCCACAGGCAGCAACTTAAGCATAACTACCTCATTATTTATTAATATTTTAATTGATTAATAATTGATAGATCGTTAAACGACAAGATTTTGCTATGTCAACTGAAAAACCTCAAGAATCTATTGTAAATATTGAAGATGAAGGTGGAAAAGTAGATGAAGGTGGGAAAGTAAAAGAACTAAATTTAGCTATTAGTCAAAATGGTGATTTTGTGGTAGAATTCGGTAAAATTTCTACATAATAATCTATTTATCTCTTAATACCAAATTCTTATGCAATTATTGATTTGTAACGATTATTTGATTTACAGTATTATTGTCAAGTGAATCGAAATTATGGGATTTGCAATTACGCATGTATAATATTGAGAATGTTGAGGATTCGAAGAAGAATGACTGCTTGAATCAGAAAAAAGACGACTTGGATCTGAAAAATGGGCTATCGTACAGAAAATTTTCTAAAATTGCTGAATCTAAAACTACATTTACAAAAGAGCAATCTGATTTGATTAAATCTTCGACTGAATCTAGAAACAAATTGAGTTGGTCAGTTGCTGTGTCAGATAGACTCAAGTTACGTAAATCAACTGTTTCAGCTGTTAGATTATTAGCAATATCTTGCATAAGCGAACATGATATGTCATATAATGCATATATTAACCCTAGCGCTATCTTTGAATTTAAACCTGGGTTTACTATCGTTTACTTGATTAATGAAGATCATTCAATTGAAGTAGATGAAGTAAAACCATTATTGATAAATAAATACGGTGGAATAGTTAAATTGTTTTCGAAAAATGAAGATAACAAAAAGACCGATAAGGATAATTTTCAAACTATAGATAAATACTTTCTTGTTATTTTAAATGCCTCTGGGATTTATAAACATCACTTTGTACACTTAAATAAACCTACTGGCAAAATTCAAAGTTTAAAGCTTCATTTCGAACACTTGTATAAACTAACTAGTAAAATTCAAAGTTTTTATTATCCAAAGCGAACACGTATAGCCTTAATGCATAACAAAATTTCGGTTGAACGTGATATGAAATATATTCTAAGATGTTTAAATAAACATTATTTTTTAGTAGATACTACAAATGAGGGAGCACAATATATGGAGCTATATGATTTAAAAACGATCCAGTTAGTAAATACCTTTAAGAGGCGAAATTTAAACGGCTTAAAAAATTACATACTAGATATTACTGATGATTTTGCAATATCACACAATAACAAATTATTAGCGTATAAATCTGGAAATCAAGTCAAATTATACTTGACAGAATGTGGACTTGAAATTGCTTCTATGAACCTTGAGGATGGCAAATCTGTCTATGACTATTTAATGCATTTCTTTAACAATGATGAGAGATTATTAATATATCAGTCAAAAAATGAATTGACTATTTGGGATATGTTCGATTCAATACAAAAGTCATTTAAGCTCGAAAATCAACTTGAGCTTGGGCTTGAGCCCGATCTTAAAATTGTAGGCACTTTTTTGAATACAAATCATTATCAATTTGAACGATCAAACACTTTTGTAATCGTTACTAAAAACAAAGGAGAAGAAAAAGAATTCTCCGAAGATAAGCAAATTTATGATGATTTAATTTTAGATTATACGTATTCAGAACGAAAAAGCGACAAACAAGATTTGAAGACACTATCGCTCTTTGCAGATACAGACAATAATAAGTTTTTTTTTATTTTTGATCTTGATAATCAAAAATCAGAATTAGAAGACTATTATTATATAATTGAGCCTTGGTTGGAGCTTGGGAAAGGAGCTCTACGATATTCAGTTTATCTCGACAAAGAAAAGGAAATTATACTTTTGATCGGAAGTGATACAATTCAGATTTGGCATGATCGAGCTATAGATAAAAATGATCAAACTAAAATAAGAAAAACTTGAATTCATTAGCGTGATCGATAATAAAAATGACGTTAAAAAAATCGAATATGCAATTAAAAAATTTAAGCTTTCATTTCAATCCAAAAATTCCCAACCCATAATTATTGAAATGGGACGTGATAATGATGATGTAATATTTGCCGTAATAGAAGCTTGTGCACGCTTAAATTTTTGAAAAAACATGTTTATTATTTTTTATCATCCGATGAAAAACGCTATTCAAAATTTCAAATGATAATCAAACAAACACGAAATATAATTGTAAGATTTATTCAATTATATCCGACTACTTGGCGATTATTAGATGTTCGCTATGATGTATTGAGCATTCTCATTGAAGCGGGTGAACGTCTGCTTATAAAATATGTATTATTCAAAGAAAAAAAAAGATATTGATTATCCTCAAAAAAGCATTCTTTTGATTATTTAGTATCTGAATTTAAAAAAAATGAAACCACTCATTATTTAATATCCAAATTAGAAAAAAATGAAAAAAATGAACTTTCTCATAATATAAAACCAGATCAGTATAGTTTATTACATGAGGAATCACTTCATATGCCACAAATATCTTCGTGGGAAGAAAATATAGAAAATACGATTAATAAGGCCTATCTTGGTTCGTTTATTTAAATTTGTGCCATTAACGGTTAATAAATTTTAATTATTAATTAATTTAATTATTCTTATTAGATGATGATCCGATATATCTAGGATATTTATTGGAATATTATTCTAATAAAGCTGTCAAAAATATTAGATGGATGATTACAGTTTGTAAAATTTTACCAAAGCTATATAAAAAGGATTATGGTTAGTTATAACTTTCTCACTTAATCAACATTTAAATTATCTCAAACATTTATCTTTTTTCATATAGAGTTTTATAAGTCGTATCAACAATTATTCTATAAATTATTATATTAACGTTGCTTTTATGAAAATGAAATGGATATACCCTTCTTTGACTTTCTTGTAATTCCACCAAGCACATATGGTTCTTTAGAAGTTTTATACCTATAACAAATTGATTCCACAGGATTCTGTTTTGAAAGTAGAAGAAATCAGGTAACTTTCCTGAAATTTTATCCTCCGCTTTATTGCATATTTTTAAACATAGCTATGATAAAATTCCTGATGTTCAAATGGCAACGAATCATAAATTATCACTGGAAGTAAAAGGAAACAAATTCATAATTTTTTAAAATCTATAGTTCTTCCTAATAAATATTTACCTCGCCGAGCGTGCTCTATTCCTTTTATTTATCTTATAGATAATATTGATGACCATAATGATCCTTTCTATTTTAACCCATCGATGGAAGCCATTATGAATTCTATGTGGTATTCATACAAATCAACTTATCGCAAAGGACTATACATTTTTATAATATACTTTTTATCTTATTCGATTATTTCTTGGATGTATATTGCACACATTCAAGTTATCGGTGATTTTCAACAAATTCTGGCGTTTGCAATCATTATGCTATTTTTTTATTTGGCATATAATCATTTAATAGTTGAATTAAACCAAGTGCGGCACAAAAAAACATTGGTGAAATATTTTAAAGATCATTTTAATTGGGTAGATCTGTTTACACTTTTATTGACAGTTTCTATTTCAGTTTATATTTTGTTTAATTATTATAATTTTGAAGATGGGTTTAAATATGCTAAAAGTAACTTATATTTAGCATTTTTAATTTTTATAAGTATTATTGGTATTTGGTATGAACTCGTAAGTATATATACTTTTACTTCTTGTTACTTATTATAATAAATAAAGTTTTTTATTGTTTACAATATTACTATTTTAGATTTTATTGTTACGTGTCTTGCATAAGCTTACACACATGTATTTATATATTACTTAGGTTTCGCACGTCATCTAAATATACTCTACAATATTGTTATTCATATTCGGTCGTTTTTATTATTTTTTGCTTTAACTATAATCGCGATGGTAGATTCTAACTAAATTATTATCATTATATTACTGTCTTATTATTTTTCAATATTACATATAATTAATTATATCCAATTTATTATACCTTTCTTTTAAGGGACATGCATTGTAAGTTATTACGTAGAATCGAAAATACTCGGATTTTTAAATTTTGTATAGACAGCTATGGACATGGGGCTTAAGATGGTTGTAAACTATAATAGCCGTTCCCTCCATAGAACTGTCCGAGTTGGCCCAGTAGTAGGTAAAAAGGTCATTATTGCAAAAGGAGAGTTTAGTTTTGTTTGAAATTTTGGTTTCAGTAATACTGGCAATAGAGATATTGTGGTTAATACAATAGTCTTGCCAGATTTGCCTCTTGGAGGCGAC